TATATATATATATATATATATATATATATATATATATATATATTAACCCACAATAGATGACTACTCAAATTGGTTCGTATAGCCAACATTCTCTTGAATAAATGATGCATATCTTTTGTATTTGTTTCATTACTATTTTTCTCCTCATTTTTAATACACATAACTTTTCTTCTATAAAAATCAAGCCTTGAGCCTATTAAATGTTTCCTTCTCTTGAATAAGATACATATATGCTCCGCTCACCGTTGTACAACTAAAAGTCATAATTCACTAGACCACATATCCGTTTGACCATAAATTTAATGTAAAATGCAATTGAACTGACAGTTGCTTAAAATGTGCATACATATAGTTCTTTCATCACAAAAATTAAATTTTAATCCAAAAAATTAACTTTGAAAAATAGCAAATATCCATAATTCTTTGTGAATAGCATAGACCATTCTTCATAAAAACAACTCAAATAATTGCCCTTTATTTTAAAACAATTCAAATGCTTTCTATGTGTGTCTTTTTCGTTGACGTACACGTACGACCATCACTATTGCTGTCATTTTGTTGCTCACAATCATAGTTGTTGTTTAGGAGCAAAAAGGTAGCCATGGGGCTACTCAGGTTGACACTACAATGTTGTTACTTCTAACTCTGGATGGTTGCTTTCGATCATCGTCTTGCCATTGTTAGTCTAGGTCGTAAATGTTCTTTCAGATCATGTTGATGCTTACATATGTGGTTGCTAATATGAATATGATCAGACTGCTCGTTTGAAGGTAGTTGTTGTTGTTGTTGTTGCCATAAAAGACGTGGCTGCTACCAGATAATCTTCTCATTCACACTCATACTAAAGTAGAAAACACATCATCCAAACAATCTTCAATTTGAACCAAATTTAAAGAAAACAACAAAGAGAACTCATATGAAAAATTATGCAGTACTACCTTAAAATTACCAACAAAAAATTAAAAACTATTCACATAAAAAAATAAAACAAAAACCATGTAATAAGAAACTATAAATCATAGAATATTAGTAATAAATGTGAAATGCCCAAAAATCATACAATTCTGATTATGATCTTCAAGATTTAGAAATAAGATGAAGATTAGAGAGAAAAGATCACCAAATGTCTTGTAGATTGCTTGAGAGAGAATTACAATGCTAATATGAGAATTACATAATTGTTAATGAAAGTTAATGACAATTACAAAGTAAACACTATTTATACTAGGAAAAGCATTAACCTATCTATTACAAAGCATATAAAATGGAGAACTTGAATACAATATTTAACGCACATACTTGAACCCAACATTCTCCCCCTATTGGATTCAAGTTCGAACTCTTGTAAATCTTGTCTTTCTGAGTCCGAGAAGTTTCTCTAGCCTCCTTAGAGCATTCCGGTATTGAATTTTCTCCTCGAGCAAATTTAGGGCATTGATCAACAAATATCTATCTTTTGAGCTCAATCTCTCCGACTCCACAGCTTTATCATTGTTTACTCTCCTCGTGTCAAGTGCCCGTCTCACCAGTCTAATAGTACCATCAAAAAAAATTTGTTTAGCTCGCTGAACCTCATAAACTTCTTTACTTGATGCTCAGCAAAATATATCACTCCGAACTCTGGTTTTTCAAGAATCATGTAAACTGGATAGGCATCAATGTCTTCTAACTCTTGATCAGGTCTCTTCAAGTTGATGATTCTCTGATTATCTTCAAGACTCATCTGAACACCAATAACCATAGATACCTTTACATGACTCCGCATATACCTTTTAATTGCACTAAGAGCAACAAGAGCTCCATCCTTTCTGTTTGTCATGTTTCGGATCTCACAATACATATACTCCAGGTCTTCTAAATATAAGTTTGAGAAGTCAGCTTCACTAAATCTCCAGACTTTACCATCTTGTCGTGTCACCATGAAGACCGGATACCAGACTCTGAGAAGTCTTTGAGCATCTATCTGTTTGATTGACACAACTCGATGTTTTGTCCTTATTTCACTGATAGGGAGACGCTTGGCTTTCAGGAAATGCTTGTACTCCAAGCGATAATCTTTGGTTTCCTTGTGGATACCAAGAATTTTATCACCACTTAGAGCTTTACGATGTCGGAGGAAGATGCCAAAGTAGATGTCTTCAAGATACGACTCTCAGATCCTAGCCCTGTCATATCCTGGAAAGTTAGCTCGAATTTCAAAAGGAACATAATTCTTCATAAAGATCTCGGTTGGATCAAAAGGCTTTCTTGGAGTATCGGATGCACCGGCTTCAGCTGCAGTGGAGGGTTCCAGCAATGTTTGACGATCACCTTGAAATGGGAATACTAGGTCTTCATCGTTGATGTCAGCTTCAAAGTCAAAGTATAGCCCAATTGACTCGTCAATATTCTCAATATCCTCTCTGAAATCTTGTTCTCAACCCAGCACAATAGCAAAAACATCATTAAACCCGACATTGGCAGACAAGTCCAATAACAACCTTGTTCCTACCGTAGAGTCTGCCGACTTTTCAACCATTGGCTCGATCATAGGACTTGTCTCCAAAACATCCTCATCTTCAACAATAATTGCCTCAATGATTCTTTCCCTTGTAGATTCCGGGGGAGAACTTTCAACATTCACATCTTGAGTAGTTGGCTCTCTTTCAACACTTAGAGCCTGAGTAGACGTCTCAACCACCCTCTGTCTTTTCCTCTCCCCCTCATGATGATTTGGATCTTCCGGGTCATCATGCCTTCTTTTGAGTGTGGTGGCCTGAGCTCTGCACGTCTCTTCTAGAATAGATACCCGTTCAAAGAGGGCATCCATTGAACTTTTAAGATCTTGGGTGTTTGATGTGATTAACTTACTAACTTTGGTGAAGCTAGAAGCAACCACATCTTGAAAGGCCAAAAACCCTGAGGCTCGAACGGGAGGGTTTTCATCAATCTGTTGTCGCAAGAGCCCAACCAAATCTGCATCTTCTGCATCGGGATTTTGAGATGCCATCAACTTAGCATAAAGCAATGATTTGAGTTCGTCCATCGATTGCTCTTGTACCGTCGGAGGCTCAGGTACAGGCGATGGTAATGGCGCAGATGGTTGCTCTTCTTCAACTTACTCCTTCCCCTTCTAT